TTCTCTTATGTAAATACTCCTTATTGCATTATTAGATCATGGAATATGATTGTCAATATCCTAATTTGAATCATTCCTTTTATATGATTATCCTGGTAAAATTTGAAGGTTTCTTTTTTCAAGTCTTATCCACTACTTTGCGCTGAGATTTGACCAATCATATCTTGGAGTATTCTCTCTCCTTTACTAAAAGTAGAGATTCCTTGTTGTACATGCATTTTGCTTCTATGACTCTATTGAGAATCCTGATGAGCACCTTTAAGCTATGCCTAATTCAGCATGACCGTATAGTGCCCCCAAAGATTAACAATATAGCCACAAAACATCTATGATGCCTCAGGTCTAAGAATTAGTTTGCATCATTGCAATTTATGAGTTCCAGCTTGACATGTGAGTAAAGACTTCCATATGCTGTAACTCATGTGTTGGATCGCGTTCAGTGTACTTGTTCTTCTACAAGCACCTACACACATATCGACATGTCTCCACACTTAATGACTTGAGACCTTGCCATTCCCTACATATAAAGACGATACTTGTGTACTAGTCTTTGCGTAATATTGGCACCCAATCAATATTCATATGACCATGAACATATTCAGGATTTAGGGATGATGAGAAGCCTCCATGTATGCAATCTCATTACATAGCTCTCATATCCACTTGTGTATCCCTTGGACTATGGTTGTTCCACATATTGAAAGATAATATAGGATGACTTAATGTATAAAACAACCATTCTTGCCCATTGATAACATAATATGTTCTACCAAAGATGTCCTTTACTCTAACTATCACATAATTAGTTGGCTTTAAGGGCATATGACTTTAACAATCGACTCAACGAACACGTAGGAAATCGTTTATGAATTTTGGGGTCAAAATGACCACGCCTATGTGTGAAAATTACCAAATATACCCTTAAAAAAAAAAAAAAAAAAAGAGAGAATTTGCAACGTGTAGGTAAACCCATCCTTTCCCTTCATTCTTCCTCCCTTCCCCTATTTTTCTTTTCCAAAATTGGATTATGATCTTCAATTAGAGGTGAGTTGATCACCTATTAGAGATGAATCACCTAGTCTAGGCTATGTGTAATGATTGTTTAAGCTAAGATATATTCTGGGTAGAAGGAGATGGAAGTAGGGTGAGGAGGAGAAGGAAGAATAGGAAGAAGAAAGGAGAAATCTCTAAGGGTGAGTAAAATTTCAAATTTGTGATTTTTTTTAATTTCGTGTTTGTGTGATTCTAGTCCCTTAAAGAATATTTTGAGTCACTGAGTGATACGGAAATTGAATTGGAAGAGTTTGAATTTCATTTTCAGGTTGGTTGGATGGAGCAATGGGTGTTTATGATTTTGGTTCCATTTTGAGTTTTTGATGAGTTGTAATGATATGTGTGAAGTTTAGAAGAGTTTTAGAGGCCTTAAGGAACAATCTGGGAGTGATAGATTGATTGAAAACAACATCGAACCAAATCTGGGAAATTTCATTTTCTAGGAATTTGCAGTCCAAGAGTCTCACTTTGACTCTCTTTTCCTCCCACTCCTCGCGTGTTTGAGGAAGCCATTTAATGGGTTCTAAACAAGACTTGTCAAGGAACAAAACATAATTGGTTTCAATGCATTTCGTTGAATTTTGATATATCAAACACATAGTTTGGACAAAAATATGTTTTCTGTAGAAAACCAGCCACAAGTCCAACTTTGGAGTTAGTTTTCTCATTCGTTCTAGCTCCATTTTGAGTATGGTTTGTTAGGTTAGAAACTAGAAGGAGTAAGCTTCAAAACCACTACAAGTTTGCCCAATTTCGTTAAATTTAGATTGGTCAAAACGTCTCACGAAATTTGAGTTTTAGTTTGGAAAAACGAGAAATTTGCAGATTTTTTTTTAAAGAAGATGATGAACAGTAATCGCAGCAAGCCCACTCAACTCGATTTCTTGATCCGAGTCCAATGGTATATGTTTTGAGTCAATCCGAGGTTGTGCAAAGTATCGGTTGTTATGGGGCCCATGAGAACCAAATGGTAACTTTGGGATACGGGTGTCGTTAGCCTTGTTTCGATGTTGACAGGGCATAGGACAAAGTTTTAGATTATTTAGGACGAGATTTGGCTGCTTTGGACCCCGGGTTGGTCCTAGGCGCATTTTCATCATTTCACACAAAATCTTTGAAATGTATAAGGTTGAGGGTAAGGTTTACTAGTCTTAGGTAAAATAAAGTGAAGACTGCTAAAAAAATTTTGAATTTGAATTTGTTCAAGAATTGGATCAAAATAGATTTGAAGGGTAAATTTGGTACTTTAGCTGGCTGGAAATGAGGTAGGGTTTCCTGATTTCCCGATGATTAGGCTATGTCACTTTTAATCTGGTGCTTATATATAGTACTATAAATATAAGTATTATTGTTGCTTTGCTTGGTGAATATTATTTGATGTTATGTGAATATTATTATTGATGTTTCTTCGTGGATATTATTTGACGTCGGGTGAATATTATTATTCACGTGATTAAATATGAACTATTATGGTTATTATCTGTATTATTATTCAGCAGAGATAAATGATGTTTGGGTTGCATTACATATGCATCATAAATATAGTGGTGTTTGAGGTGTGTGTGTTGTTTGAGGTATATCTAAGGGGTGTGAGAAGGCCTTAGATATATCTAGAATATATTCAGGTGATGGGAGCAGGGCTTGGATATATTGAGGTGATAAGAGTAAGGCCTAATGAAAAGTGAAAATTGAGAAATTCATAAACAAAAGAAAAATGGGTTAAGGGACGAATGGGCGCTAGTTCATATTTTAGGGTATTCGGAGCCATAGTGGTAAAACGCATGGTATGAGACATGCATGCTTGTTGCCCTATGATATGAATTAGTGAGACTAGAAAGGAGTGAGTTCATGGCATCATCGCGTATGCAAATTTATTTATTTGGTATGATTGAATAATTTATATATGTTGTGGTGTTTGATGCGTGATACTTTGATTAATTGTGATAGCTGACCTTGAGGGGTTTGACGGTACTCTACTGGGCATTAGAATGCTCATACACTAATAGATTATGCAATATTCAAGACGAAGTTTGAGGAAGCGGGTTTCAACTAAGTTGCTAGGCTTTTGTTGTTGATTTGTGTAATTAATGTTTGTATGTAGTCAACCGTTTGATGAAGATTCTAGTGTGTATTTAACTACGAGCTACCGCGGCTCTGATTCTGTATTGTTAAGTAAATTTGTATTATTTGTGGCTCTATTTCTCATCATATCATGGTTGTAGGATTTTATTCTTATGACTATGGTATGACTCACACCGTGATTCGGGAATATTCCTTATTTTCGAATTGGGTCGTGACATGGGTGGCTTCCCAATCTTCCATCTTTCTCTCCTCGTATCCCTTTCTCCTTTCCTACTTTTCTTCCCCTCTCCTATTCTCTCCCCAAATTCGTTTAGATTTTGGGTCCTCTTGCCTAGATCTATCTGGATCTTGTCTTCTATTTGTTTGTTTGTTTATGTGTTTGCTGTTGTAGGTCCTTAGTGACTTTTGTTGTTCTTGGATGTGTCTTGCTGTCGCTCGGATGGCTGTAGTGTGGTGTTGTCGACCCAAGTTTTTTCTTTGGTTTTGATTGTGTTTTTGAAGCAAGTACTGCAATCCACCATAGACATCATGATTTTGTTGTAGCTTTTGGTCCACTCACATGGATTTTGCTCCAGTTCAGTGTTTGGAGTTGGAAAAGTGATTGTTGCCAGTATGTGTGGGATCGGGTTTTGCCTGTGGAAAATAAGAGTTTTAGCCATGTTGGTGTTACGAGTCTCTTTGGTTTGCTGGAGAGGATGTGGTGCGGTGTCCATATTTCTGTGTTTCTTTTAAACTAATAATTCTCGTAAACTCAATATGAGTTTGCTGATGTTTGTATTTAGTGTTTGACTTTTCGATGCGGATATGTTGTTATTGCCATTGCGCGGTGGATTTGTATTTTCTGTCGAATTAGAGGTTTTAGGTTTTTTTGGCATGAGTAATTCTCTTTAGATCAAACCAATTTATTTTTGTGTTTGGTTACTGGAGATGTTGTACTTATATTCGATATTGCGGCTACTCTGTACTTTTTGTTTTGGACAAACTACAGTAAACCCCCCAACCTATAGGGTCATTTAAGAGTTCATACTTGATTTTGGGGACATTTACCAATACATACTCAATGCAACGGAAAACCTACAATTTGCTCCCTCCGTTAACGAGATCGTCAGGAAATCCGTTATTTGCCTACCTGGTGTCTTTTAGCTGGACAATTTTTTAAGGGCATTTTCGGCATATGATTTATTTGGGATTTGTGCCCAAACAACATATATTTATTATAAAAAAAAAAAAAAAAAAAAAACCCCCAAATAAATTCCAGATACTCGATACGTCCATAACTCCCCCCACCCTAATAGATTTTCTCCCCAAATCCAAACTGATTCCACAATTTGAAACCTAATCCCCATTTCGCATCGATCGAAAGCACAAATGAGGCTAGGTTGCTGTAATTCGAGATGTCGTGGGGTATTCGTCCTCGGGGTTGTCGTGCTCCTCATTACTGTAAGTTGAAGGTAGTTTTAATCCTATTTGCTTTTTGTTTTCGTCGTAAAGGGTTAGATGCTTGTGGTTATATTTAATGTGAACCTTTTATTTGCTTTGAAGTGTGCTTGAGGGTGATATTTGTGGTCCATGGTCCATTTCTGTCATTGTGTTGTTGGAAAAGCATAAAAGGTCCATTTATGTCTTTGTGTTGTTGGAAAAGCATTAAAAAAAAAGCACTGCATTTGGAAAAGCATAAAAGGTCCACTTTTTTTGTCAAACCAAACTACTTTGGATTCCAGACAATACTTAGTGGTCCAAAACCTCTGCATTTGTTTATGTCCTTGTTTATTCACCAGTTATGTATTGAACAATTGTTTATTGATAGGTTTGACTGTTATGTGGCTTTGTAGGTAAAGATGATCAGTTTACTATAAGAATGAACCATGGGGGTTTCTATATGTGACAACCTGTATGTTAATGGGACTTTGGACTTCATTGATTTTTGCGATAAGGACCAAATGTCTATGTTTGAAATTGGTTTGATGGTTAAGGAGTTTGGGTATGATAGTATAGTGTTATATCACTATGAGCTTCCCAACTCTTCTTCTATAGAAAAACTTATGTCTGATGAAGATGTTATGAAAATGTGTGAATGTGTGCCAAAAGTAAGGGAGATAGATATATTTTTGACACACCCTTATACCTTTTTAAACAAACACAAACAGATCGAGCTGCAAAAGGTGGAAGGTTCCGGGGTACAAAAACAGAGGTTAGTAGTGATTGAGGATCTAGGATATGCTGACTGTAGTCCTCTTGTTCCTTATAAGACAAAGAGCAATGTTGAGCTACAAACTAAATATCATGGGCCACATAAGGTGAGGATAGCAGAGCAACAAGCAGTGAATGATGTTGGAGATTTTTCAGAACCTGAGGCACCAAAGAAAGGAAAGGGTAAAACAGTGGTTGATGCATCAAAGAAGGGAAAGACTACATGGTCTTCAAAGAATAAATAAGTGGCTGGACCTGAGGCACCAAATAGGGCAAAGGCTACAAGGTCTTCAAAGGGTAAAGAAGTGGCTAAACCTGAGGCACCAAAGAAGGCAAGGGTTACAAGGTCTTTAAAGGGTAAAGGTGTGGCAAAGGCAAGTGAAACAGACGAGGAAGATAGTGATATATCCTTATCAAATGCATCTAGTTTTGTTGACAATAAGGGGTAGGGTGGGGGGGGGGGGGGGAGGGGGAGAGAGAGATATTGAGACACAAAAATTCACAGTTGGGCCCGAATAAATTATCAGGCCCAAAATGACATTCTACTAAAAAGAGGTGTAAAGCAGAGTACACAAAAACCCACCACATGCGAATTACAATTCACGTGCCACGCTAAACAAATAAGTCGTCATGCTAGGAGTCGAGATAAAGTATACTGGCTCTACAAGCCCGTGCCGAAATTAAACATCGCAGTTCTTCCCAAGGATGATAAAATTAAAACATGCCAAGTGATATGCCATGCCAAGCACGAAATCGTTATTTCGCATCCAATCACACTACAAGCCTAAGTGGGCCCAAGCCACTCAAATGCCCGGGGCTTGCTTGAGTGGGTTGTGGTATGGATGGTAATAAATCAACATGAGGCCCATTGTTGGGCCGAGAAATGGAAAGTCTCGGGTTGCTTGGGAGCCTCGGGACTCAAGCCCATTTCTTACGCCCAAATATGTGAGTGAGCACAAGGGAGAAGAAATAGCCCAAATAGCCCAAGCAAAATAGCCTAAAAAGCCCAATGTTTAATAAAATAGCCCACTTATTTAATGAACCACCTTGGCCCACACAAAAACTTCACAATAAGCCACAAAAGCCTCAGCCCCTTACTAGAAAAATAGAAGCCACGTAGAGAGGGTGAGCAGATTCATTGAACAAAGGCTGCTGGGAGATTCCAGCACATGGGGTAGCAAGTTTCAAAGCCAAAACATTCAAGGAACCACGGGATATTAGCATGTAAGCTGCCAAGAGGAGGAGCACCCTTCAAACCAGCATGTACACCCATTTCTTTTCCTTCATCAGATCTGGCCAGGTAAGGAGGAAGAAAAGAAGAAGAAAAGTAGCTAAGAATTAAGCTTCCCACTGAACAGCTGCGGGAAAGGGGGCCTTGAGCTCCCAAAATTCTTGATTTTGTGTAAATAGATAGAGGAAATCTTACCAAGATAGGAAAGTCATGAGATGAGAGGAGAAAGGGAGGAAAGGCTTGGTCAAGTTGGGAAGAAACCATTAGGGTTTCTTGGGAAAGGATAGTTTCCCGCAACTATAAAATGGGGTCTCTTTTACCCAACGAAACCAACTCAGATTCAGAGAGCAAGCTTTCTCTCTAACTTGCAAAAACCCAGTAATCTCGTGCACTATTCACCTTCTTCTCCATTCTTCTCTTCTGGCAGACAAAACATCTGTCAAGTTGTCGGAAGAACATTATTCCTTATTTCGCCCCTTCTTAGCCAAATCTCTCACAAACCTCTCCTTTCTCACCTTAACACTTTCCTTTTCCCCCCAAGAAAGCCCAAAATTCCCCTCAGTGCTAAACTCATGTTGATTTTCCTTCCATTCCACATGCCTCTCATGCCAAGCTCAAAAGTTTATCTATAAGCATGAAGAAATTACCTATAAGTTGCTATTGTTTTGGTTGGTCAGGGTAACCAAAATACTTCCTAAGGTTTTGCTGCCCTTTCAAAGCATTTTTGGGGCTTAATTTTCGAACTCAGACAAATGGGACAATTTCATCATTCTGCCATTTACGGCAGCCCAGCCCATTTATAGTTGCCGGAAGAAAAAGTCCTCTACAGGAGATAACATTGAGGAGATTGCTGAGGAAAACAATTTTTTGCAACAGTGGATTACAGACCATGCCCTAGTTGAAGATACTTTTAGACATCTTCAAGATGAAGAGATAAATGAGGGTGAATGTGGTGTTGTTAATAAGGGGGATCAAGCAGGTGGGGACCAACCTTCACAGGATGGTCCAGGTAGGGACCAGCCTTCACAGAGTGGTCAAAATGAAGACCAACCTTCATAGGCTTGTCCAAGTGGGGACCACCCTTCATAATTGTGTCAGAGTATTTGAAAACACACAAGCCTCAAGTAAATGGTTGAGAGATAAGTTCCTGCCTAGGATTTAATCAAATCGCACGATGCCTCCACAGTCTATAGTGAACTCAGCCTCTTCTGAGTTTAAAGTAGGTATATCTAGGATGAAAGCTTACATGGCAAAGGTAGAGGCGCTTTGAATCATTGAAGGAACAATTGCTAAGCAATATGCCATACTCTGGCTCCACAACAAAGATGCACTGTGAGTTTGTTGATGGTGAAACTGTTTTTAAGCGATTTTACATTTGTTTAGAACCATTAAAGAGAGGGTTTAAGATGAACTGCAGGCCCTTTATTGGATTTGATGCTTGCCATTTAAAAGGGGTTTATGGTGGACAGTTGCTTATAGCAATTGGGATTGATCCCAATAAGGAGACTTGGGTGCTAGCATATGCTGTAGTTGAGATGGAAACAAGGGAGTCATGGACATGGTTCATTGATTTGTTGGCCAAGGATGTGGACATTGTCAATTTCCATAGATGGGCCTTCATATCTGACAAGCAAAAAGGATTGCCTGGTGCATTTGAAGACATTGTGCCTAATGGTCAGACAAGCTTCTGTGTGAGGCACCTTTAGGATAACTTCAACAAAACATATAAAGGTAAAGTTTTGAGGGATCAGTTATGGACATGTGCTAGAGCTACCCATGTGCCTTGTTTTAACTATTAAATGGAAGTAATGAAGACCTTAGATAGCAATGCTTGGGAGTGGCTTGCTGAGAAGCCACCAACACAATGGTCTAAGTCTCATTTCAGAACACATATTAAGTGTGACATGTTGCAGAATAACTTGTGTGAAAGCTTCAACAATAGTATCAAGACAGCAAGGGACAAGCCAATTATCACAATGCTAGAGATGTAGTGCTTGTTGATGAGAAGGATCTAGTGGAGGAGGGACAAGATGAGCAGTTGGCCTCATTAAATATGCAAGAACATTTTTGACCATGTCCAACACAAAAAGTTAGAAGCATGTAATTGTATTGTGCAATGGTCTGGTGGTCCTAAATATCAAGTGGATGTAGGAAGAGGTGACCAATATGTGGTGGACTTGGATAATCACACTTGTTCTTGCAGAAAGTGGGACTTGTTAGGCATTCCTGTGCTCATGGAATTGCTGCCATACATTACAAAGGAGGTAAAGTTGTGGAGGATTATGTGCATTCATACTACAGCAAGGACAATTATATGACTCTCTATAACATTCTCATTATACCAATTAATGGGTCACAGCTATGGGAGAAGACCAAGACAACAATAAAACCACCTGCCTACACTAGACAACCTGGAAGACCTAGAAAGGTGAGGATAAAAGGAGCTAAAGAGAGAATAGATAAGACTGGGAAAAAATAGTTGGGAAGACAAGGAATGTAAATGAGGTGTAGCATTTGTGGCTCAACTGGCCATAACAAAACCACTCACCATCAGAATCTACCTCAAAAGGAAAAACCCCTATCAGGGGAAAGGAAGACCAAGAAAAATACCTAACCAAGACCCTGCAGTTGTTGCTGTGAGTGCCTATTTTTATTGCTAGCCTATTGATGAAACTGTTTTATTGTTTCTTCCTTATTGTTTGACACCATTAGAACTTGAAAGTGTTTTTTTCCCCTGTAGGAGGAAGCAAAAGCAGTTGCAAGAGCAAGGAGAAAGCTTGCATATGCCAGGGCAAACGCTGCTGCTATTGCAAAGAAGGCTGCACTAAATGCTTCCTAGCCAAATGCAGCTGATACTGCTGGAATAGGATTGAGAGCATCCAAGAGATAGAGAACATAGGCTCTTAGTTCTTAGTTTATGCCATGTATTTTATTTTGAACTAGTGCAACTTTTGGTTTTTTGATGTGGCCACTTTGGTAACTTTTGGTTGTATTCCAGATTAGGTGCTCATGTTCATTTTGTGAATTTGAGCTGCAAATGTTGGAAAAGTTTGTATGTATTTTGAACTCAATATATAATGGAATTTTCCTTGAAGCAGTTGTTCATTTGGAGATTGCCTAACAATTGTGCATACATAAACAGAAACTGCATTTGGAAATTGCCTAACAATTTTTCATACATAAACATCTTTCATACAAATTGACATGGGAGATTACAAGAAATAGGCCTTTCATACACACAAAGCACTTTGATTTTCCAAAATGTCTCACAAATGGCCACAAAAAAATCACCCAAGCCTCCTAAATTCTAGACCCTAAAATGTAAGTGCTAATTTCACATTCTTGGAAGATCCAGTGTCTCTCCATTCCAGTACTAGCATTCTCAACAACAGAATCAAAAAAATCTAAGAACCCAAAACACTTGCTCATAGAAATCTTTGTGCTTTCAAGGTAGCTCCAACCTCTTTTTTCAATTTTCAGTTTTCCTCTTCTTCCTTACGTAATCGTTTCAATAGTCTACATATCACAATCTTCGACCTTTCGCATACTTGTGGATCATACCATTCAAAGAATGCACAACCTCTTCTTACCCCATAATCAGCGCAGCCCCAAAATCTTCTCCCAGGGTTGTTGTCAGTCCGTGACGTCATCAGACGACATTGATTGCCCCAGTGACAAATGGGTTGGCCCACTTCGCATCTTCGACTTGCAGACATCATCGACCTCGTCGACATCACCATCTTTGTCTTCTTCTAATTGGAACCTAGGCAACTCCTTCTGTGGATTTGGGGATTAGGTCTGAGTGGGGGCTTAGATATGGAAATCAATGAATTAAAGAAGGCCATGTGTGGTTTGGGCGCGAAACCCATGGACATCAGATGCCGAAAATGCCCTTAAAAAATCGTCCAACTAGACGCCACGTAGGCAGATAACAGATTTTCTGACGATTTCACTAACAGATGGGGCAAATTGTAGGTTTTCCGTGACGTTGAGTATGTATTGGTAAATGTCCCCAATAGGTTGGGGGGTTTACTGTAGTTTGTCCTTTTTTTTTCTTTTTTTTTGTTATCAATAAAAGTACTATCGCTTTTAATATATATAAAAAAAGTTTTGAGTCCAAAAATTATTTGGGCTTATTTTGGTTAATTTCTATTTTGCATTTGCTATATTGGTTTTGCCAACTACTGTTAGAATTTTATAGCTATTAATTTCTGAAAAATGGGCAGAACAAATGTGTTTTATTACAATTGGTTTAATGCCTTTGAGAAACAACCAACTATAAAACGCCTTATTTTGGAGTATGAGAAAACCGTTGGAGCAACATTGGCACATTTCTTCATTATTTTCTCCTCCACAATCTTGAGTTTCTGTTCCAATTTGTTTTCTTTTATCAAATGAAAGATTTGACTTGTTCATCTGATCTAAGTAGTGCGAGTCACTACAAAAAAAAGTGTCAACAATCATCATTATTTGGTGACATTTGCTGGTGACTTTTTTTTTGTTTTTTGTTTTTTGTTTTTGTAGTGAGTGTACGTTGTTGTATCCGGAGGGTAGGCCGCCATACAACCTTGCTACACTGAGAAATTTTCAATGATAAGCGAAATCTACTCTTAAAGATAGTGATTACATGCCTCAACCTAAAACTATTATTCTACTCAAGTATCAATGAATACCAACTTCTGCATCCCAAAAGATGACTATTTTGCTGTAATTTCCTTGGTTTTATTTAATCTACTCTATCAATGTAAATTACAAATTTCTAATAATTATTTCATATGATGTGTTGCAGGAAAAGTAGCATCTTCAGCCAAATTTTCCAATAAAGAAATCAATGAGGAATTTTACTTAGCTTACAACAGACTCAAATTTAAAAAGGGTAAACAAAACCCTAACCATTGGGGATCAAGATTCGTTCACCCTCATATTTTTTAATTGTTGAAACAAGTGGCTTTTTCTTTGGTTTTCTACGATGCCTTTGCAGGAGGAATTGGGTTGGAGGCTTCGAGTATTACTCCAAAGGCATTTTGCATGGACGCCTTCAATTTCTGGGAATCTATGAAGCCTTTTTCAGCTCCGAAGGCAACCCTCAGCTTTCCCATATAACTAAGTGCAGTCACAGTAAGACACTGCATGTATGAAACACCATCTCATTATCTTATTAGATACATACATAAATAGGGATTGACAATGAGTCGAATCGGGGGTGGGTATGCCATTCCCATCCCCATCCCTGTTAAGCTTTTTTCCCCCATTCCCGTCTTCATATCCGCAATATTCATATCGGGGATTCTCCATCCCCACCTTCACTGGGGAATGGGTTCCCCGATCCGCCCCATTACGGAAGAAAAAACCAATATATAACTACTTTGTTGAAGAAAAAAAATGTACTAAGGCAAGATAATGAATGTATATAATATATACTTATAAGACAATATAAAAATGTTTATATATGTATTGGAAGTTAACTAAATAAATAAGTAGTGTGGCTTAAGGTTTGTATAAATTATATAAGTATATAATATAATAATATAAAATATAAAACTTAATCGATACAATCACTTTAATAACATATTTATATATATATCTGCGAGGAAAATTTCCATCCCTATACATAAATACACACACACACACACATATATATATATATATATATATATATAAATTGATAGGGAAAAAAGGCCACATAATTTTAATATTTATTACAAGAACCACCAAAATGTCTCCAAGACAGAATATAACTATAGGCAATGCAAAGAGTATTAATATCTTTTAAACGTAATATTAAAAGGGCTGTTATTAGCACTCCGAAAAGTTATTATACTCCGTATCTATATATAAAGCAAAAGATAGAGAATGGTAAAACATTCAAAATACCAGAAAATACCCTTAGTTAATTCAAACATTAAGAATTGAAATTATTAATTAAATGAGGAAAATATGGTATATTCACATTTTTTCATCTTAAAAAAATTAAAATTAAAAACAAAATCAAACAATAGATCCTACTTTTATGGAACATAATTACCCATGTTATCTTTTCTTAATTCTAAAAATAAAATAAAAAATAAAAAATAAAACCAATTCATACATGCGTGAACATATGCCAAGGGACATAATAATATAAAGAAGAAAATTGCAATATAACAATTTTCAATATTAATTATAAAAATAAAGTAACTGCATAATTAAGTACCTGAGGTCTCAATAAAATAAAATAAAGTACCTGAGGTGCACCAACTGCCATAAAGTATAAGCCACCAACGGGCTGATTGTCCAAAGCCATTTTTTCAACTGGCCCAATCATATTCGAGATTGTCATGCTCGAGTTCTTGAGCGTGCCATGAATGTATCTAGCTACTCCCTGCAAACACACCACCTTATAAAACACTCTAAAGTTTTTTTTTCTTTTTCTTTTTTGAAAAGAATATTCTAAAGTTCTATGAGAGACCAACAGATTTTTAGTATATTAACGGGCTAGATTCGAATTTAGAAATTATGATCTCTTTCAACGTTAAAAAGATAGATATCAATTTACTAAGAGCCAATTGCAACTTCAACGGCTCTTGAAGAAAATCCTTAGCTTGATTGAATTAAAATTTTCGACATTTTGTGGTTTGGTGAGAGGCAATCTATAATTAGGTGATTTCTTCTCATGGCAAGATTCATTGACACTTAACCAACCCAACATTGACCAATTAGATGTTAGTTGGATTGACTTAGATCTTTTGTGTGCTCCCAAGTGGTCCTGGGTTCAAACTCTCGTGATACCTGTGTGTGTGAGTTTCCCCCCTCACCCTTCCTAACTTTAGCAAGAAAACAAAAAACCAACCCAACATTGGCAAGATTCATGTTAGACCATAGTTTTGTATATTACTATCTTTTGGTGAGTTTTAGTTGTAAACTTTCTATCAATATGTATGATCCAATTTTCAATATTTTTATTCAAAACTTTGCTTTAGTGACCCCGCTGCTCATTTAGCACATAGCCCCTAAAATTTCGAAGCCGCTCTGCTAAGAACTAGTTTGTTGATAAGTGCATTTAAAGTGTTTTGAATGGATTACACGAATTTGACTTATGAGGTCATCATGCCCAAATTATATTTCCTACAAAACATTCTATATCTTGTGAGAGTACTTACATTTTAGTATAAAATGAGATTTTAACAACATAATATATTAGATATTTGACACTAATATTTATAAAAGAAAGGAGGAATTGGTAAATTGCTACATTTTATAAAGTTTAAGTGGTTAATAATAAAAATTATGTTTATATCAATTTTCCTTGTTAATTACGTACCTCAGGACCTCTAAATTTCTTCAAAACGTCCAACAGCCAGCCAGTGAGGTAGCTAGCCGCAGAACTTCTCTTTTTCTTGATCATTTTTTGTGCTTCCCAAACAAAGTCGAGTGGGTTTGAAGTTTCAGTTGACTTGGGCACTGGCAAGTGTAAGAAGGCAAATTGGTTTCCCCATGACATCTTAGCATTATTTGGTTGGGTCATCTCTTTAATTGACGTATAACCGTTGATGTTTCTGGTTCTGAGCAGCACCAATGCCGTACAACGTTCATTGCTTGATTTTTGGGTAACCTCTTGCATGTATATTCTGGTGCCCAAGAAGATTATTCCAGCAATCACATCATTTATCGTCTGCAATTGTTCATGCCAATTTCATTCAAATAATATAATCATTATTAAAAAGAAGGGTTAATTTCGGATTGGTATCCTACCTTAAGGCATGCTTGTTCCTGCATTCTCAATTTTAACAATTACATACCCTTATTTTGTAAATTTTTTGCAACGTGATTCTGCCGTTAGATTGGTTGCTTGAAAATCTGTTAAGTGATGACATGACACATGTAGAGCCCGCATTATTTTCTTAAATTCAATAAAATATTTTTTTAAAAACACATTGAATAAAATATTAATAAACGATTAAAAAAAAATTCTTCACAATCAAACCCAAACTCCCCTTTTCTTCCTGAACAACCATTCTCAGCCACACCCACCATCACAACACAAAAAAATACATATAGGGTAGCGATGGTCGGCTTGGAGTGCCGCCACACCAACCCCCATGTAGGGTACGGAGAAGGGTGCAGGGTTCTTGGGGAATAGGGGAGAAGAAATTGTTGGGGGAGAGGGAGAGTGTAGATGTGAGAAAAAGAGAGAGAGTTTTATTTTTTATTTTAAACAAATTATCTAAATTTTTTTGGTTTTTAATATTTTATTCATATTTTAATCAATTTAAAATTATAAAAAAATGTGGGACCCATAGTACCAAGTAGGCAATTAACATAGAGATCTGGTGGAAACCCTAACGGTGGAACCGCATTGTAACAAATTTAAAAGATATGTGATTGTAAAAATTGAGAAAATAGGAATTAACATGTCTTAAGGGTGTGACCACAAGGTACTAAACTATAATTAACCCTAAAGAGAAACTAAGAAAAGAAAGGGCCTGTATAGGACTTGTTATAAACCCAGGCAAATGTTTGATGTTCTAAAAAAACCACATGGATTGGATTATGTCTAATCTTAGGCCCAAATAGTAGGATCATGAATGACATCGAAAGGGTGGGTGGAAATTTTCGACACAACCCGATACACGACTCAAAACCCATACCAAAAATTAACGAGTCCCACACGAATAAATTTTTAGCTCATTTTCGGGTCACCCATCATGATCCGTTTAATAAATAGGTGGGTTTTGGGTCTCATTGACAACTCGCTAAAATAACTATGTAACCCATTTAACAAAACGGGTCATGGTGAGTCAACTCGCCAACCAGCTAAAATACACATGTGACCCGCCAACCAACTAACCATTTTTTTTGTTTATTCTTTTTTTTTCTTTTTTTTTAATGTATCTTTTAGTTGCTACCACTTAGCATGTCAACTCAATACAGGATGCAAAATCCGCAATTAAATTAGCTGGTCAACTCAACACGACACAACACGTTTATTAATCGAGTTAGGTTTTGGTTGAACATTCTTGACACTTATATGAAACTGACAAGACATGAACTTGACACGATACGGCCTATTGCTAGCCCGTAAAATTAAGTTGGATGTGATTAATTATGTGTAATTTTTGCCCCGAAAAAGACTTATTTTATTTTAAAATTAATTATAATTGTGTAGGGAATTTTGAATTTATGCTAGGGCACAACCGGAAAGCTCAATCGGGTGTGGAAATAAATTTTTTGAATGCAAATAATAATCCAATTTTGATCAGAATATCAAATTTCATTAGAAAAATTCTAATAGGGCAACTCATGTCTACAAAAGGGCAACAAAGTACACCGCTCCAAACATCCAAAATAAAATGGACGAAAAGCCGCACAAACCCACATTACCAAAATTATACATGATCTTAAGTCAAGTTCACAAAATTACTCAAAATAACTGAAACCCTAATACAACACATAAGCCTAATGAGCGTTATGGTCACAACCTAAGGGGAGAGCTTCTTTTCTTTTCATAAGAATGAAAGTTTGAAACTTCTTTGATATATATCACGTAATTTATGAACTTTTTAGTTATTTGTATTGCGTATTTGTGTAATCCTTGTTTTTGGTAAATAATTTCATACTTCATAGCAGTTTTTTTGTAGTAGAATGTTCAATATAAACAGAAATTAATATAATAAATGAATAAAAATTGGTACATAATCTTACCACTCCAAGTTTGTTCTTGATCAGTTTGATTTCATCAATGGAGAACGTCAAGGTTGATAGTGTTATTGGCCGAAACTCAACTCCATCTTCCCCAGACCTAATCGGAGTACGATCATCTTCTACGAAATTGCTCTTCAAAATGCTCCAACTGAAATCCGATACAGTTTGGAAAACTGAAGAGAAAAACTGAGACACAGTTTTAGTCTTGCGAGTAGTTTTTGGTCCTGAGCTCTTCAGGGAAGGAAATGTTAGAGGAACAGAAGGGTTTTGAGCAGTTTGCAGACAAGAAAGAAGAGCACCCATTAGAGAGTAGCCATCACCTAGAGCATGGTGAAGCTTGAAAATCAGGGTACTAGCTGCATGGCTTGTTGGGTACTTGAGAATGTGAATTTCCCATAATGGCCTGTTTTGTGGGAGTTTTTCTGCTGCTATATTTGATATGTAGTCATCAAAATACTCATCATAGGATTCTGGTGACATTTTAGAAGGGAAAATGGGGACATGAACATGGTCTTCAAGCTTCACTTCAACCCTCTTCCATTGTTTCTTTTGATCTACATTGTCACTTACCTGTTTAATAATTTCAGATAATTGATATCAAATCTTTAGTCTTTCTTTTTTTCGCAGTAAGCTGGCGGTTTTCACACTCTCACGTTTTTTGATTGCTAGTATTCGAGTAAATCAAATGTTAACGAGTAAAAAGAAGAGAAGACTAGTGAAAATTGAACAAAATGGGAGCGTGAAAATCGCTTCCGTTTCCAATAAAATGACAAGAGAGAGGAAGAGATCTAGAGAGAGAGAGAGAGAAGACAAACCATGATAGAAGAGAAGCGAGGGTTGATGGGGAGGAAGACATCTTGAAGCAAAGAGAGAGCTTGGGAATCATCGATTGGAAGCTCAAATTCCAAAACAGCAAGAATTGCAACAGATAAGATAGAACTGTTCAAGTATTGGCCAGTGGGGCTCACTGGCTCTACTTCTCCTTCCTCCCTAAACTCCATTATGCTTCACTCTGCCTCCAATGAACTTTGATTTCTCCAGTTGCCTTTCACCAAACCAGAGAGTAGATATTTATAATCTGAGTATTTGCTGCTTCTAATTAATGTGTGCAAAAACTAAGCAGGAAAGTCGGCACTCATTTATTATTGAATAGAGCTCCTCATCACAACAATTTATACAAGAGCGATGGTAGACAGACCACATTATTTAATTACTAGTTTTAATATGAAATTTACATAAATATCGATTGTTTATGTTTTAGTAAAAGCATGGGAAATAAGAAATTAAATTAATTTCAATACATATGAAAAGAAAAAAAGAATAAATTAGAATAATTCCAATACACATGTGACCTCCTACAAAGAGAAGAATACACAGAAAATTCCCACAAACAAATATTCTTATGGGTAAGGGGGGCCCAAAGCAGATGGCGGAGCTGATCCGAAATGTGACAAAAACTATCGGAGTCCGTCGATTCACAATCACCACATCACACAATATGTGATGGGTAAATGTGAGAGAAAACGACGTGAATCCTAATAAAGGATAATTGCTACTTACACAACATGTGATGCATAAATGCGAGAGAGGCAAGTGCAATGCCAAAGTTTTTTTGTTTATTTTATTTTTGAATTCAGAACCTTATGAAGATTAAATTGCACAAGATCAAATAGTCATTGACTAAAATTGTATATTTTAACATTTATATACAAGCCTATTGCTATTGGCAACCTAACCTCCGTTTAGCGCAGTTTTAGTGATCCAACTTCAATGTGAAGGCCTTTTGTACTAAACAGAAGAACCGAATTTCCACAAGCCTATTGCTTTTGGCCACCTAACCTCCCTTTATTAAATGACGTAGGTGAATTAGGTAGGTCTCTGGAGAAGGGTTCACTATAAAAAAGATGACATTTGATCCCATATTGCACGGCAGTGCGGTGTAATTAGGTTGATGATCATCAATTGGACAGAGAGATTACACAGGGCAGCCGGAAAAGAACAAGCCATGAAATAATTATCTTTAAATTAGGAGAAAAATTTAGTTGCAAAGCTATTTCCGGTCAATAATGCTCTGTTATATGCAAGTGTTATTATGCATGCGTAACATAATTGACTGGGATAACAAAATAGTGACATTCCCATTTCATGGAAGTCTTTCTCCTAAATCAAAATCACATAATCTACTATATATTCAATTGGGTGTAAATTCCGCACAAAAAAGTACTTCCACTTGTTTATTCATAATACCAATCGATATAGTTATTTGTACTAAGAAATAATCAATTATTACTACATCCTTCACAAATGTTGAGTCAATAAACACATTCAATATTTTTTTCAAAATATTTTTATAAATATTTTCTGCTTAATTCTCGTGTTAATCATGTGCAGGTGTTGAGACTACGTGCCAGTTTGGCATTGCTTATTTGGGGTGATAAGTGATTTTTTTAAAAATTTGAGAAGCACAACCTGTTTGGTAAACTGTGAGAAAATCACTTATTATTAAAAATTGCTGTGAGAGAAAGCTATAAGGGAAAGCAGCTAATGAGGTGCTTTCATTTTCTGATTATGCAGAAATCAGTTTCGAAGAGGCACTGGGTTTAATAATTATGCGGCAATCATTTTCTGATTATGTGTAAAATCAATACCAACAACACTTTTAACAAAAATTTTACCAAACGTCAAATTGCTTTCTCTCACAGCTGATTTCTCTCACAGCAAATCTGATAGAAATTATTTTCACAGCACAGCAATGCCAAATTGGCCCTACATCTATTGGCAATTGGTTTTTTTAGAAGAGAAAACGATATTTCATTAATATAAACTCAATTCATGTTACAACCACTAAGGATAAGAAAGCACATGCATCACCCCAGGCCAACACTACGTTGCTGCAATTTGAATGATTCATCAACATCATCCTTATGACAACTTTCAATAGGCAAGGATACTGGGCTCTCTCCACTAAAGCAGTTAGTACCAGTAAAATTGAAGTCAATGTAACAAGCCGTATGTACTGTAAATATGTACATTTTTTTTATGTGTATTTATAATTTTTATTTCATATATATATATATATATATTTACAAGTCAGTAGTACATACTTACCGCAAAATCTACTATATTATACTCGGTTGCTCAATGACTCGTCAATAATTTATTCTTACTAAAAGGAAAAAAGAAAGAGAAATTCCACTATTTTTTTATATACTAAATGAAAATGGCGAAAACCCATTTCTGGAAGTCTCTGTTTTTTTTTCTTTTTTCTGGGAGGCAGGCAGAAGCATTGAGGTAGTTTGCACTATGGAAAATCTAGGTATTAGTAATAGACAAGTTGCACTAACCAACAGCGTGCCTCTCTCATGCTTTGGGAACGATATAACCTGGCCCAAATACATTTAAAAAAAAAAAAGATATTTAGTCATATACCCATTCTTAGCACTAAAACTATAAATAAACTCTACACCATTTAATTATTAAATTACTTTGATGCCTCATTGAGTCTTTTGGGCTTTTTTAAGTGGTTTTTGGGTTGGGTTTGTTTTAAGAAATCAATGGCAATTTTTGTAATTTGAAAGAAGTTAAAAGTCTTTTTGTTATGTTGTAAATGGGCTTTTCGGGGTTTTTCTATTTAAGTCCTTTTTTTTTTTTTTTTTTTTTTTTTTTTTTTTTTTTTTTTAATAATTTGGGCTCCTATATTGGGTGTTATAGTGAATCTCCCAAAGAAGGGTGAACTTGCTTCCACATTTGGTTCCTGGTGCTACTTTCTTGCCATAGGAGCTAGCCACAAAGCCCACCTTCTCCATGTCAATCAGATCTTCTATCTCCTTCAACACAAGCTTGCACACGCATTTCACATTCGCTTTCTTCACCACGACGCAGCATGCCGGTGATGGATCAACCTCTTGCACCAATTTTCTAACATATTCTGCGTATTTGGATGCCAAATCTGTTATGAAAAATCAATAAATAGCTTATGTTATAGGATCACTATATTAATACAAGATTATAATATGTAGACAGTAGCAAAATAAAAAATTATATAAATGTGTAGGTTGAAATTAAGTACAGAATATTGACTTTTATTGAAGATAGAGGCTTGCAGATTTGCAATGTCCTAAAGACAGAATTTTGACTTTCCTTATTGCTTGAAGTTCAATAGGCGAAAAGATAAGAACAATTTTATTTTATTTTTGGACTGGGTGTCTCTCTTTTATTTTTTAGAGACCCCAAGAGGCCCAAGACCCAAGATCCAAGTCTTGATTAATTAAATATTATTAATCAAGCAAGCCAACCATGTATAGCCTTCATTACGAAGCCCAACAGCCCACCAATCTTATTTAATTGGTGTTAAGGTTTCATGCTTATAAAGCATGTAAAACCTTTTGTTTCCTCCGATGTGGGACATTTGCTTTCAAACTTCTAACAATACACCACATTTGAAACGCAAATTTGTTTTAAAAAAATATATGCTTACTCAAAAAATTGGAGAGGAAATTAGATAAAACACACATCAAGATAAGTGTCTTTTGGACTTGAACTTTCCCTAGTGTAGACGTATCAGATCTACTTAATGAATTAGTGGAATTCATAACCTTGAAATGTTCATTGTTTTGTAGTAAACCGAGACATAAGCCACACATGCATTAAATCTATACACACTTAAGTTCATGGGGTTGTGTTCATTTTGGTCTTGAACAGAACCCAGTTTCATAGGAGCTTTAGAGAATGTAGCCATGTAATTCTCACAAATGTGACCTCACATTTACTCCTATATAGGTAATGTCAATTAAAAGTATTCTGCCATACTTCTTTTGAGTATCAAAAAATGTCATTAAATGTTTTGTACAAAACATACCCGAAAAACTTTTGCAGACAACACACTTTGGTCATAGGAATGAGTAAATAGCGAGTTCATACCTTGAGCCGTTCCCAACCAGTTTGCCTATTAAACCTAGACCATGGGGTCTCCAATAAGCTAGTTTGGGGTTTCATTAGGTTAGCTCATTGTGAAATTGACATTAAACCTATTCCCCTCGACGCATATTTAATTTGCTCGCTAGATAGGCCTTTTGTCAAAGGATCAGCCATGTTTTCCTTTGACTTCCAAAATCTAATGAGATTATTCCATCTTTGAGCAACTGTCTAGTAGTGCTATGTCTTCGCCTTATATGCCTTGTCATGCCATTATATATCTTATTTTTGGCTCTTGCAATAGCTGCCACGTTATCAAAATGAATAAATAGTGCAGTTATTGGTTTAGGCAATAACGGTATATCTTCCACAAAGTTTCGAAGCCATTCTGCTTCTTTAGCAGCCTTGTCCAAAGTTATGAATTCAGATTCCATAGTCGACTGTGCTGTACAAGTTTGCTTGGTTGATTTCCAAGCTACTACTGCCCCTCCACACACAAAAACATAATCACTAGTGGATTTCATTCACTTTCACCAGAAATCCAGTTTGCATCACTATATCCTTCTAAAACTGGTGGATAACTTGTGTAATGGAATCCATAATTTATTGTGCCTTTTATAAATTGTAGCACTCTAATCAAAGCTTTCTAATGACCATCAGACGGATAACTTGAATTTGACTTATGCTAATAGAAATCCAAAAAATAAAATAAAATAATTTTATTTAATTTTTTGACTACGTGTCTTTCTTTTATTTTTCCGACCCAAGGCTTGATTAATTAATCAAGCAAGCCAATCATGTATAGCCTTCACTACCAAGCTCACCAGCCCACCAATGGTGTTAAGGTCTCATGCTTATAAAGCTTGTAAAACCTTTTGTTTCCTATGATGTGGGACATTTTCTTTCAAACTTCCAAGAATATCTACAAACACTTGTGTCCTTGCAACTTTGTGCCATCACCTTGTTGCTGGACATCAACATTAACCCAAAAATAACCAACATTGCTAAGGCCAAAGATTGAAACCTAGAAGCAAAAGTTGCCATTTTTTTTCTTAGGTACTTCTTTAACTACAAAATACAAATTAAT